AGAAGGCATGTTTTGGTCTAAACTAAAACTTAATCGTACCAGCAGTAGCGTCCCTATGAGATTATTTTGAAGAGAAATATGTACGTCACTGGATTTTCCAATAAGATATTAAATATTTTAGACAACCTGTTTCTAGCAAAACGAATATGTTGTTGTGTTCATGTTAATGACAAGAAACGAGTGAAAGTGATACAGTAAAAATTTATATTTTCTAAAAGTATTTACATACATTCAACAGATATGTAATTTTTATATTTCTTATCAACTTGTGGCAAAGCTTTACTTGGAAAATATTGTATATGTGTAATAAAATGTAATATTAAACATGTAGCATATTTCGTTGACAAAAAAGGTATTTTTAACTCCACAGAGACTGATTAAAGATGAATATCCATTAATGAGAATATATGGAAAAGTTCATTTTACACTTGACCTACATTAGAGACTATGTATTACATTAATAAATAAATATAAAATAAATTAACAAAATTATCCTGTTTCAAATTAACATATGCATGAAAATTTAAACAGTAAATTTATTTAAATAAATAAATAAATCTCACATAAATAGTTTTGCTTCTTCATTGAATTGAATTTAAATTGTAAAGTAGCTTACAATAAATTAAATATTTCAGGAAGTGATTTTGTAGGAGGAATGTAACACTTGGAAATATTTTTTCTATAAATATGTGTACCGTTTTACGTAATAATAAATCTTTATTTATTCATCGCCATAACTATCACTAATAGATATCTATATGAAAATTTTAGTCCTTGAAGACGAATGTGGGATAATCCAGACTAGTGGAACAAGCAAATTCTTAAGATAAGGAGCGAATAAAAAGGTATTAATTTTTTTGGACCTTGGAAAGATGAATATTTTGCGCCTTTATCCATTTTTAATTATTGCAGGAGTGTTGGATGATGAAGCTAAACCTATGTCTATAAAGCTACAAATTTATAGGTAAGTTTTGATATTTGGTGATGGTGATCAAATTATTTTTTTAGTAACGTTTATTGACACTTCAACTTTCAGTTTAAAAACCATTAATCGACATTATCTTACAGTAGGTATCATTTTCACAAATTGCTAAATTGTACCAGATCGGTATAGTAAAAACAAATAGGTCATTTTCGTTATAAAATAAAAAGTAAATAAGTGAAGAAGTTAGCTTTTTGTAGGTGTACGGGGAAAACGGTATCTTGTTCTAAATGATGTACATTCTATTCAGTATTTTTCTAACATGGTTATAATTATTGGTAATGGAAATCAAACTAATTATGAATTAACAAGAAGTCAAGAGTTCTAAGCCAATGATACGCTATATTCAGTATTTTTCTAACATGGTTATAATTATTGGTAATGGAAATCAAACTAATTATGAATTAACAATAAGTCAAGAGTTTATATCTCCTTATGGAATCTATACGATAAGCAAAAATGAAATAATGCTCTATACCTAATTGCTTTTTTCCTGTTTTTTTCTAAGGTATTGTAAATGCCTTCCGGATATTTCGACAGTCCTTTTAGCAAATTTCATATACAGGGTGGGCCATTAGTGTGAGAAAGTAAAATAACTTCGTTGTTAGTCATAATACAGAAAAAAAGTTTATATAAAAGTTATACAGAATCAATAAACCTAAACTACAAAATTAATTTGATACATACAGGGTGATGAGTAAAAACGGGACACGCTAAATATTAAATTTTTTAAATGGAACACCCTGTATATTTTTAAACATATGGATTTCTGAGAAAATTCTATATGTGGCAATATAAACAGTTTAACATTTTAGTGCAGGGTTGCCAAGTTATGTAGAAAATCCTTCGAATTTTGGAAAAAACATGACCTCGAAGAAGTTCTATAACTTTCAACAATTTTCTCAGTGTATATTTTGAAACAGTATATTTTCAATGAGTGTATTGAATTCGTTCCTACGTTTATAAGCTTTCATTAACCATTTGAAACTATTAATTTTATTTGCAATTAACACAAGCGTTAATTAATGCATTTGATATTTATAAATTATTTATAACTCATTCAACGTTATTAAATTTAACTCCGGAGAAAGTCTAGTTCTTAATAATTTTTCCCTATGAAAGATTACTCTCCAAACGCATGATAGGCGATAATGAATATAAATAAGTGCTAATTAATTTGCTTCTTGAAAAAATGAAATCGCAAGGTTATAGTGTGTAATGAATATATATCATGTCGTTTAGTACGCACCAGCCAGCACAATAAGCGGATTTTACCTTCTTAAGGATCAAATATTATATTTGTTGTGGCGAGACAACTCATCATACCATGACAATCCAAGTACACTCGGCATTGTCAATGCATCGGTTTTGTGCTAAAAATAATGTTCGGTTATTTTTTTAACTGACTGATGTATATACAGACGGTCCCAAATTCAAGAAGCCTAGAGCACGTAAAATAAATTGCATTTTGCTATACAAAGTTGCTTTCAAAACTCCACCATTTTAAAAATACAGTCGTCGAAAAAGATAATAGTTCCCAATATCTTGTGAACAAATGAAAATATTGTGTACACAGTACAGTAATAAAATAGCAAGTAAGGTGAAAAAACTAAATTTTCCAGTGGGGTTCCATAATTTTTGAGGAAAATGTAAACAGAGTACCTACCTCGTTTTTACGAAGCTGATTTGAGTTTGTTCACGTTGAATGCCATTTTATTCGTGTATTGTATCGTAAACACAAAATATCAACATGTTCATTTGTTCCGAAGATATTTAGAGATAAAGCTTTTACCCTGAAAAATTTAACGCCCTGTGTCTCAAAAACGGAATTTCAAAAATAAGTTTGTTCAGTAAAATGCCATTAATTTTATCTCCTCTATATATTTCTGAAGTTTCGCGATTAAAATTCAAAACAAATTAGATATTTCAAATTTTGAAACTTTTTTATCTATCTGGGGTTTTTGGTACACTAAAAACAAAATAAATTAAATGTTGCCTTATACTGTTGTCTTGTTTTTATACACTGTGTCCCAAATTGATGGAACAAAATTCATATTTTTTTTCTAGTTGAAATTTAAAAATATCGATGATACAAGTCAATTAGTAAATATAGTAGGATCGTATTCGATCAAAGTAAAGCAAAAAATTGTCGGTCTTTTATCAAAGGAAAATTGTATCATCATTTTTAGGACGCGTAAGATGAACCATTTCAAATTTAAAATGAAATTGTAAAATCTAACAGTAAAATCTAAAATCTAAAATAGTAGCAGCTGTAGTCGCCCAGGTGCATCGAGTGTACGAAGTGGTCGGTTATACGTCAAATACTAACCTGGCTAGCTTGGTCGTAAATCAGAGACCGTCTCTAAAAAACATGTAAACAGTAGCGCGTACAGAGGTAAAATGTAGTACATATGTGGAATTTTAAACACAAATTGGATTTATAATAAATTGCATTTAAAATAATTATGAGAATAAAGCAATTTTTTAGCCCTTCTAAAGACGATTCAGCGATAATAAGGTTATACCTACTTTTTTTGTCATTAATAATTTAGTAGGTACCTACTACTTTTTATTTTATTACATCAAATGTTCAAAGCGATCATTGCACACGATACGATTTTTCAATCCTTCGATAGTGTCTGGTCTGTTCACATACATTTTGCTGTTTAGATAACCCCACAAAAAAATCTAGTGAGATTAAGTCAGGGGAGCGTGGTGGCCATTTAAGCGGTTCTCTTCTACCGTTCCATCGATTTGGGAAAACTTCGTTTAAGGTAATTTCTTACATCGAGGCGAAAATGTGAAGGCACCATTTTGTTGGAATCAGATAGGTATCACCAGCAGGCATTTCGTACCTACTCAGTAAGATTAGGAAAAATTTATTCCTACTTGTACAAAACTCATATCTGATGTAAAAATATGACGTTTATTTTAAATACACAACATATACTCGTATGATAATATAATACTAACGAAATTTTAGGAGATAGGTGGATAGGAATAAACGGACCGATCAGATGGCCATCTAGGTTACGTGAGTTGAGTCCGTTGGACTTTTTACTCTATCGAGGAACTTCGACGATGTTGAAAAATCTTTTAATAATATTTCTAATATAGGTACATTTAATGAATGTTACCCGAAGCATTGTCAGAAAATGCGCGAAATGTGTGACAGTTGAGGGACGGCAATTTGAACATTTAGATGATGATGTACCTAGGTACCTATTGTTTAATTTACGTTTAATATTGTAACTTGAGTTGAAGTGGAATAAAAATTGGAAAACTCTGTCTTTTCTTATCTATAATATATATTTTAAATAAACTTCATATTAGATATGAGTTTTGTAAAAGCAAACAAAATCTAAATTTTTTTAGGTCATGACCAGCTATGATTTTCATTTAAAAAAATATTACTTTGGGTGATAATTTTGGAATCTTAAGACCTACTAAAAATCTAATACCGGCATTCAATTCTACGCCAAAGAATTAGTCTTGAACAGTTTTCTCTTTAATTCTACCTTATTTAACAGTTGAGAAACAGACATATTCAGAAGTGTCACAATAACGAGAAACGCCCTGTAACTCAGAAACAAATGAAGATAGCAAGTTCCTAATTTGACAATTGAGTTTGCCATGAAAATCGAGCTCGAGAACGTGGTGTCAGATTTATCATATCTTTAGTAGTTTCTGAAATACCCTGAAATTCCACCGAAAATGAACCAGCCTGTACAGAAGAGACTATGAGTATTTGAAATAGTCGTAGTAGACATAGAAGACAATTTTTGATATTTTTTTGATAAAAAAGTAGGTATAGCTAACCTTATATCGCTGAATTCGACTTTAGAAGGGCGATTTTTTAAAATCTGAACTGGAAAAAAATTATTTATGTTCCATCATTTTGGGATTTTTTTTCCTTGGGAAATGGCAAAAAAAACATCAAATAATATCAAAATTAAATAATTAACAAATAACATTTTTGAAATAATAGGTACGAGTAGGCGAACATTTTTGTACTAACCTTTACGGGCCACATTTTCGCTTCAAAGTCTGCGGCAAAAAAATCAAGACGCCTTCGGGCACTAGGACGACGTTATCCTTAACACATCAACTACGCACCAACACCGGCAAGGCTCACGCGCCTTCAGTTACTCAGCACGAGCGGTTCGCTACAGGTGGGTTCACCGTCTACTCGCCAGTCGATATCACTCAATGAAACCCAAACCCGCCCGGCATCGGCAAACTGCTTCATTCTCTCCACTTTCCACCTGTTCGCAGGCTCTACCGACCCACATTCTCTCTGGAGATGCTATTTGCTTTCCTTACCACTGCCCGTTGGAATAACTCGTTTTTTATTTGACTTTTTTTTATCATACTTAGTACATGATTGGAATTCTTTTCTTCGGGGCGTAGCTCAGGAACTGACAAGTGACTAGGTCAATCAAGAATCAGAATTTCGCAATTTTGAAACATATTTTTCAGTATCGTAATGTCGTATTTTGCCGTGTTATAATTTCATATTCTCAGGCCAAACTTTACTCGGCGGTAGAATGGCTCAAAATAAAAAGAAGTTCCCATACAGGCACAGAGGAAACAGAATCCTATTCATAATGGCATACCCTTTAAGCTTTAATCAGTGCTACACTCGGTTTAGTTATGATTATTGTTAGTACAGGTTTACCATTGGAAATTAAACAAATCGTTTCATTGAATCAAACATAAACTCCTTTTTGGAAACCTTATGATAATTTAATGAAAAAGTAATTGATAAAATAGTATGCAAATGTTTCCCTTATATAGGGTGATCCAGTGGTAATTTCGTTAACTTTAAGGGAAGATAAGGAAAAATGAGTAGAATACGAATACGTGATTAAAAATATTATTCGATCATTAACCTAGTTTTTACTGCGTTTTTAATACGTAGCGAACAATAAGAAGTAAATACATAGGTAGATTTTTTAGCTACACATGAATTAATAAGATATTGTGTTACATTTTAAATATTAACTGGTAGGTATTATTTATTGGTTAATAAAAACAAATGTATAAGGAAAATAATTGCTTTCCAATGTTAGGTTATTACAATTTAGTATTTTTAATATTGTTAACGTTTTCACTACGGAACTATATTAATTATTAAGTTTGTAGTCAGTATATTCAGCCACTTATTGCTTTTCAAAGAGTAGTATGGCACCTACCTATTTAAAATGCCACTACAGCTAAAACAACACTTTGTTAATAAAGTTGGGATTCGCTGCTTTTTGATTTTGAATCCAATTGCAAAATTCAAGACGACTGGGGAAATCAGCTGTTTCGCTTCAACATTCGAAAAGGCAGTGTAAATTTTTTTTTCGAATTTCTACCTTTATTAGAACTCCCGAAAGCGTGGTTAAAATTAATGACATTATAACTGCATCACCCTGTACACTCCCCACAGGGTTATGGATTTCAAGTCTGTATTAGAGTCTGTGTAGTCTGTACTTGAGTCTATGATATTAGAATATTTCCGCTTGGAAGTTCGGTACCTAGGATTATGGTGTTATAGGATCACCTTATCCGCCATATTGGATCCGCCATCTTGAATTTCGAAAGAGTAATTTGAATATTTCATTAATTTTTTTATCAGGAACATTGCAATAAATAATAGAATACAAGTCTAAACTTTCTTTTAGAAATTTTGTGCAGAATTCGACAACTCGTGACCTAACCTAACCTTAAATATACCAAATACCAAAATACCAAAACAAAAGGGTTTTTCGCACTTTTAGGTTATTATTTCTCAAAAATCTGACATGACCTCAAGTTTTTATTTGTATTCATATTGATCTTGATGGAAATACCATTTTTAAAAAGAAAATATGCTCATTTTTTAAATTGGAAGGAGTAAATTCTGTGGAAGTACCTATATTCCTTTTTTTTTTCTAAATTCAAAAAATAAAATATTCTGTAAGTATTATAATATTAATAATGAAATATTCATCAAGAAAACTAGCAACAACAGTTAGCAAAGATTTAAAGAAGTTGCCTATAAAATGTGTCATTGTATATTAAGTTGGAGATTAACAAGAATTTTTACTATTGGTCTACCATGTTGAAACTATTCAATTCTATTTTATTTAATTAATCACCTGTCTGCAATAATTTTTCTATTACCTCCTTAATTAAATTGGCAAGTCTCCGAAGTTCGCTATGAATCAAGAACGACCATAAAAACACCTGTGCGGCCAGTTGTATTAAGAGTGGAATGCCAAGAAAGTTGTTAGAACTAATAATACTTGCTTTGGAACATTTCTTGCATTTTTTACTTTCGAGGACGAGTGGTCACTTTCTATACGTATCCCATTATTACATCTCGATTGTACGTACCTAATTTCTACATACTTACTCCAAATATGAGACAAAAACGTTACCAAAAGTAACGGCTATTGTTCAAAGTGATTGCTTATTCGGTTGTTCGTGCCTTCCAATTTTTTTTCAGTTTAATTGACGAACAGTTTGGTCCATGTCTTGGATGTTTGTATCCCTGAAACCCAGTCAGTTGAAACATTCGTTAGAATAACTGTGAGGTGTTCTGCATTGAAAATAATTATTTCCTCTCGTTTTTTGGAGTCAAAAGTCTTGTGCAGTATTTGTTTTGGTATAGAGCGCTTGTCGAAATACGAGGATATATAATTTAATAACAAATATGGTGTAACAAAATGCCAGACTTACAAGGAGAGGACCAAATAATGACGAATGTGGGCAAAAGAAGCACTGATGAATATTAACTACAGATTGTTGTTGTTACTGATGTCGAAATACATCATTGTACGCCTACTTCACAAAAACATTTCTAAAAGAATCCGTGCATGTCTTCATTGAAGTAATTATTTGAATGAACAAAAAGTTCAGAAGGCGTTACTTACCTTCAAACCTACCTATTACATTCTTTAAGGATGATAATACCTAAAACAGTGCATTAAAATTCATGAAGATTAGAGAAGTGTTTTTGAACAATGAGAATCAATACTGCTAAACGGAATATGTAGAAAATGGGCACTAAAGCAGGAATAAAAGTAATACAAATACCTTTAGACACGTGCATATATCTACGGATACAAAAGAATATACAGTTTATCTATTTTATACTTATATTTGTGACAGATTTAAAAATTTGGTCGGTTAATCCTGGATCATCATATAGGTATAAAAGCTATAGTCGTAATTCAAAATAATGCATTAATTGAAATTAATTAGGTAATTAAATTATATTTCTGAATATTTCAGTTACAAAATACTTGATATTATTTTGTTCTGTAAAAAAATGCACTGTTAAATTTTCTTATCCTATGTACTCGTATATCATAACAACTTCTCAAACAATTAAAACATGTATGTTGCAATAATATCTATAACAATACAGTAGGAGAATTTTATCATTAGGTAATTGATTTAATCTATCTTATCGATATCGGCAAAATACCAACAAATTTATGGAAAAAACTCATTTCAAGATCCTGATATTTAATAAGTTTCATAGACAGATTCGAATATAGAAATGAAAATGAACTTCGTGACCAACTATTTGGTCTGTAATGAATATCAAGTAGGTGACACTTTCTATTTCTGTTTAAACTACAGATTCCAGTTTCATTATGTTCTTTCAAACGAGTGGAAACCAGCCAAAGAGACTCAGCATGCAATGTATCTGCAATTCTATAACAGAGCCCAGCCTCTTTGGCATTCTATAACGAAACATAGGATGGGTTACTGCCGATTCATTGTTATTATAAAGGGTTAGTCAGTAGCGTCCATTAATTAGGTGTTCATAAGTATTGCTATAATAAATAAGTTATTTATTTTTTTAATTAACAAGCATGTTTTTAAATTATTTTTTTAAAATTGTACATCGTCTAAGTTTTTTCTGCTTATAAAAATTTTTCTATTTTCAAACACCTGGAAAGTCACTTTTTTATTTTTGCGCAAACTCCTAATTACATTTTTAATTGCTATGCCGAAGAAAATAACTCAATTAGTTTTCTCTTTCTAATGATAATTTAAAAGGCCTCATATTGTTAATACAGCTTTTTATTCTTTCTATGTAATTAGTTTATTTACGAGTATATAGATATATTTAACCCAATTTCTCTCGTCGGTGTGTGACTTTTTGCATACTAACAAGGAAAAGACTCGGTAATTAAGCTTTTTCTTTACGCTGTTGTATTGAATTTATGAATTTCTTGTTGACTTTCAAAAATTGAGGCATTAATGTTTGTTCTTTGCAACTGATGTATGAGCTTAAACACCTCATTTTCTGGTAGCCAAGAAAAGGATATGCAAGAGAGAGAGAGTTACCTGCCAAGGTCGTTCATTAAGAAATTAAACATTTATTTTCACTATTTGCAATATCAAATAAACCTGACCTATTTAAATGGTAATATATACACTGTTAATCATCGGTAACTAAATTGAAAATAAGATTTTTTTTCACGTGATTTCATGTACTACTTAATAATTTTTGGTTTTTTAATTTTTGGCATAACATTTTAAGTTTAAAAGCCATCTTATTCGTACTCTATGAACTGCATTCATTCACATCAAGATAGATCTCTGTATGATATAAGTTTTATCTTGATCTAGTTGATCTCAAAACCTCCTAAACATCATTCTTTCATCGTTTTTTCAGTTTTATTAAACTTTTCGTAGCATTTCCTCAATCCAAGTGATTATCTAATGCCTGTTCCAGACCTCAACAAGATTTTGTTATTATCATTTATTCAGATTCACTAGAAGTGTGATTCTCATCAAAATGTTATAAAGTTCGTAACATATTTTGTATTTTAGTTCTTCTGTTTCTTACTGGTGTATTTCTATAGTGCCAATGCCTAACACTGCTACACAATATCCAACTTTTTTCAGTGCATATTTCCTTGATATTAAATGATTTTATTCGTGAGTCTCTGGTAGCATTTAAAATTTTGATCCTATCTCCCTGATACTAAAGGATATATTCTATAAGGAGCTAGTAGCATTTAATACTTTAAATATGTTATTCGTATCGATTTATCAATGATAACTTTAACTTAAAATATAACTGAAATACTCCTACAAGATTGTCAAGGTATGTTGAATTGAAAGTATTGTTTATATTAATATGCCAGGCGTCTATTGACGCAAGCTACTATTCTCTATGTATATTTGCATACAAATAAAAATAACA